CTCCTTTTTTGTGTTTGTTATTCTTTTGTAGCACCTCTAATCTTCGACACTTATATGACCTAATTGTGTTGTAAGTGCCGAAATGCTTACTAAAACACTTTGTATTAGTCTGTACCGATTGCATTTAACAAAACATATCCGTTTGCAGGGGTTCGATTCCCTTTTAAGTGACCTTTCTTTAACATTTAACTACTCCTACTAGTACTATGAGTACTAATTGTACTATCTGGCTCATGCTAGATGGAGGTCCACCATGAACTTCGTTCAGGGTTTGTTGATGGCGGACATGAAGGTTATCTATCCGTATGTGAACTGAGAACTGGGGGCTCTCGTGGTCTAGAGGGACGGTGTTCACCTCTCATTCAATAGGTCCCTGGTTCTAAACCTGACTTCGACGGAAAACGTTATTCTCTTTTTTTTTTTTTTTATGTTTCCTTTTCACCTCCTTTCCTGCTCGGCTCTAATCACGGTCTGTCATCAGCTTTTGTCTCCATTTCTGCCCCCCACCCCCACCCAAACCCTCCTCTGGGCCCCCGACTCTTTCTGCAGCCTTTCTATTGTTACTAATCAAACTCACGTCTTCTCCCCGTGACGTAAAAGAAACCTTACACCACTATCACAATACCATAGTGCAAGTTTGGGAGGGGGGGGGGGAGTGGAAAAAAGTGTCTTCATCTGGGGAGGACACAGTATTGAACCCTGCAGCAGCATAAACCACACTCTCTACGTTTTGATGAGGCCAGCGGCCAATCTGCAACTTCAATGAATTATGACAGACCTAAAATATAATATATCATCACTGCACACAATGACACTAGCTTACAAAGCACAGAAAAAAAGGGAACTTTGGGAGAAGCCTTTAGCTTTTAGTAAGCGCTATGCCGCACTTGCAACACAATAAGGTCATATAACAGCTGAAGAGTAGAGGTGTTACAAGAGAGTAACAAACACAAAAAAAGGAGGCGAGATAAGAACAATAGATGTTCGATAGGAAAGAAGAAGCAAACCTCACCAGAGCATTTGTCAAAAAACCACAGGAGAAACCTAAGCCATTTTTAAACCAACCAAAAAACAAAAAAAAATGAGACAAAGGTACGGTACGCACATGTCCATATACACAATATCAATAAACAAATCTTAGAACCCGAAACAGTGTCAGTTCAGACAAGTCAATTTATTCATCGTTTTACTGTCGTCATCATATTTCCCAAAAACATACGATAAAACTCCATAGTGAATGTCATTCAGTGAGGGAAAAAGGAAGGAATTGATTTTTATCAACGGAAAAAAAAAAAGGAAGTCAAAACTAAGCAAACCAAAACAACACAAAACAAGTAGACATATTATTATTATTCATATTCATAGAAGAGAAAAGCAAAAGATAGCTGATAATGAGACAAGGAGAATGCTTGAGAGAAAACTTTCTGTTCATACCCTTGTGTGAGGCCTTGATGCTACAACTACATCCATCTTGATCAGTTGCAAGACGGTACAAGTAGGGTCCGTGCAGAGATGACAATCAAAACAAACTTTGGACAGACAAGGCAAACTGTACGTAAACTCCCTCTGCACAGAACCTACAGGCTGGTATAGAAAAAACCATCGCCTGACTGTAAGGATTCAAACTTGGACGGCTCCTGGATGAGTCCATTTCCACTGAGGACAAGCACCCGAAGAGACCATGATTTAAAAAGCGACACAGACTGTTTAAAAACTGCACATTGACACAATAACCAGTTGTCATTTGTGTCACGACATGATGGATTCAGGTACTCCTCATTTTAGTAAGGTTTTAGTTTTAGTTTAGTTTTACAGCACTTGCAACACAATAAAGTCATAAAAGCGCCGAAGATTAGAGGTGTCACAAGAAAGTAACAAACATAAAAAAGAAGGAAAGGACATCAGGACGATAGATGCTCAATAGGAAAGGAGCAAACCACACCAGAGCACCCGCCAACCACCCACGTAAGGTTTATACGGCGCCCGCAACAGCATAAGGTCATATGAGCGCCAAGAGGTAGATGTCAACAGAAAAGTCCAGAAGGGGAATCAGACTTACTGTGCTCACCTCTCTTGCCTCAACAGCACAAGGTCTGCTTCGACTATCAAGGCACCCCGGAAATAGCAGTTCACAAGAGAGTGACGAACATACAAAAGAAGTAGAGAAAAAATGATGAAAGTTAGGATGAGGAAAGAAAAAGCAGCAGTTCCCCCTATGTTGTTCCGTCACAGTATGAGCATGGCATTGATAAATCAGCCAATTTACAAATCTACGGAGCATAAGAACATGTTCATATCCCCCCTTTGGGAATGACCAATCATAATGATTTGTCACATGATCAACAGATCGTCCAGGTTTTGAACAAGTTATCCGTACTTGTAACAGGCCATAAGACAGAAGACAGAAACAACAGGGACAAAAGAGAAGTAGGACTTACCAGTGGCACCCTCTAACAACCTGGATGGAGGAGGGGGAAGGGGGCACTAAATCATTTATTAGAAAGTCAAACACGGCTTGAAAACGCTCAGCCCTTGCAGAGAAGAGAGGTAGCGGGGGAAATCCTAGCTGAAGACTGCTGAGTCTCACGTTGCCTACCACGACAAAGAAGTCCTGTGAATAAATCACTGACAAATGAAAAATGCTTCCTAAGTGGGCATTATCACTACGAATAAAGGCCTATACAGAAGAAGATGAAAACGCCCCCCAAGACACCCCTGCCCACTCCTACCACAGAACCAAACAGACCTACTGCATGGGCTACATTTTGGTGATAATGAACAAAGTAGTACAGCATGCACAAATGAGTACAGTAAAGAAAACACAAGTGTTTGGGGGTCATGATGAAGTCTACAGCAAATTAGCATGATAAAAAAGCCACACTTTGCCATGAAAAGATATAAGGATAATAACGACACAGAAAAGAAAAAGGAACAAGCCACACTAGAGTGTCCATCAACCAGCTGTCTGGAGATAAAGGTCTTTAGATATGTCCTGAAATCATGGGGGGGGGGGGGGGGTGGAGGAGAGAGACTCTTTGCTGTGTTCTGGCACTGGCAAAGTCGAGAAGATTGAAAAGAAAAGTAAGAGACCTATAATATTCAAGAACGAGCACAACTACTGACAAAATAATCCTGAGCTTTCATATATCAGGAGCATAACACTGTGCACTTGACTTTGAACACATTAACCAAAACAAAAAAAACAAAAAAAACATTAGGACTATTTTCAGAGATTAAAAACAATGATCCTGAATTCATGAAAAATCTAGAGAACACCTGCATACCCTGACCCATTGAAATTGAAAAAAAGAATGACAGAAAACTTTCACAAAACGTGACTATAGATTACAAGCATATGACCACATGATATATCCTTTCTCTTTTTGACCATCTACCCCCCAGCAAAGGGTAAGGCCAGCCAAATTTCATATAGAAGAATGACAAGCCCTTTAACATTGTACGTGAGACTTAATGTCTTGAGCACACTGTACAGGCACAAGCAAAGTCAAAGCAAATATAAAAGAAAAAGAAAAAAATACATCCGACCCATGATGAGTCCCTTCCTGTACATGTGATGAGGACTTTACTTTTTCCTGTAAGGGCCCTGACAGAAACCTCAGACAGCGTATGGGTGAGACTTACTCTACAATACTGTGTGCTAAGTTCACGGGCAATTAAGGAACAGCCAGGCACCTTGGGAGTAGATAAAATGTGTATGTCTCCACATTCAAACCAAGAAGTGACAATAATTTTTTAAAATTCTTTAAATACATTAACAATGTAAAAAAAATTACAACATAAATTCCCTTCACTGCTGTGTCTTCAAATAATCAAGGTATTTTAGTAGAGATACATTGCAGAGCGTGTCAGTGAATAGGGGTAAAGACTAAGCAGTAATAAAGACAGGCCAGAACAGAGAGGTACAAAAGATAATGGGAAATAATATCCAGCTCAAGCACTTGCTGACACCATCTCAATGTACAAACCTTCATAGCACAAGAAGAAAAGATAGAGGATGTTGAGGTCACAACAAAACCCTAGCTATTCCCTTTTTCAATGAGGTCCTCTCCGTTTCGCCAGAATACTACATCCCCAGAACATTTCAGCCTGCAATCTAAAACAACAGAACATTTGATGACTGGACCAATCCATAACAATGGTGAAGACAGTTTGAACCGAATTCTACCCGAGACATGTTTCCAACAAATTCTGAGGTGCTGAACAATAAGTCACCACAACTCAAAATTTATTGTTTTTATAAAACATATTGATCCAAAGTAAAAATAAAATAATTCCAGTTTCAGAATTCAGAGAGAGGAAAGTTGTGCAAAAATCATCATAGAGTTTTCCCCATCACTGTACACAACAATTACACACCAACTCATTAGTACACACACGTCAAAGGCAATCATCTACTAACACAAACAGATCAAGACAGTACCCCCTTTTATTCCGCTGAGTATAAATTCCAAGATAACAAGCAATTTATACCAAGAGCAGGGACGGTTTGTCACATAATCAGACAGAGAACCCTTTCACTGCTTGGAACAAGCCTGTCTCGGGCTATATAGTAGAAATATAGAACAGCCCACAAAGAGAAAGGCTCAACAAAGACAGGAAGCCAGAACCATCATGGGAAAGAAAAACAAAGGGAGTCTTCAACAGGTCCCTACAACAGCAGCTCATGTCAGACAGACAAAACAAAAACCAAAGGTAAAAAAAACAAAAACTCACCCCCTTAAAAAACCCAAAATATTTTCAGAATTGGTCTAAAGGATTACCCAGCATTGCACAAAACAAGAAAAATGTATGACAAAAAATAAAGGGTTGTAAGAACTCTACAAACTACAGCGTTTTTCTTAACTCTGCTAGACCTAGAATAACCAAATAAAAAAAACATGAATGAATAATCTGACTCGTACAAATTTGGACAGTGCTAAATTTAAGACGCAGCAATAGTTGTCCAAAGACAGGAACTTGCAACAACAAAACTAAAATACTTTTCTCTTTTTTTTTTTTTGCATTTGTTAATTATTATTTTACTTCACCACACATGATGTAATGTACACACATTGCATTTCATCTTCCAAGACAAGTTTGGATCGTAACAAAAGACAAAATAATCGGTCACTGTATATACTCACAAGTCAAGAATTACCATTATATATAAAAAATGAAACACATCAAAGGACACATGAAAAGAACAAAAACTCTAGATTTAGTTTATGCTCCACTTCTAGCATTTACGCCTATGCATGGACATTTAAGGTGGGAGGTACTGTTTCAGAACAAAAGAAGAACAAAAAAAAAAGAGATCAAAATTGCAAAAAGGTACCCAGACAACAGAAATGGTCCCACATGAACAGACTGCAAACTGAAAAAGTATACAAAATTCTAGCACATTTCCCTTACTTGTCAAACTGAATTGAAAAACATTTTCCTGCCATTTCTTCCATAAAGCAAGGCATAAATTATACCAAAGGAGACATTTAAAAAGCCGAGGATGTAATCGATTTTCTGAGTTCCAGACTTTTCAGGCAAAGAGCCAACCATAACACAGTCTTTGTCAAACATTTTCAGGCTCAATCTGCTTGCTGTCAAACAAAGTTGAAAACAAAAGCTGAGCCTTAAACTGCTTATCGAAAACAATTGTTCGCCACAATCATCTCTCAATCCGCCAAAATGAGATGCACATTACAGAAACGTTAGCTGCAGAACTGCACTCTAAAGAAAAAAGTTTAACGCACTTTTTTTTTGGGGGGGGGGGGCCTTGAACCCCATCAAAAAGTGGATATACATGCAGAAATTTAAATGATTTGCACCATTTAGAAATTACACTTTCAGCAATATGTGCCAGATCAGACCGATTTCTAGACGGAATGCTTTGCTTGTCAAAGATCTAACACCGCATGAAGTGGGACAGCCCTATGGAGACACATCAACACATTACCCAGTACCCAGTAGTCGCAAACAAAAATAATCTACGGTCACTAAACCAAGCATTTGATCAAAGTGATATACAAACTGAGCAAAAATTTAACTACGAAATAAAGCAAAATAAAGGTGTACGGTAGGACAATTCTGTCAAATTTTTAAAAAGCCAAAATCGTAAGGGAACAGGATGGAGAATCCCGATGAATCTGATAAAAGAGAGTAACAGATGGACATTACCTTCTAATAAAAAAAATCAACTTCCCCTGAAGTAATGCTTGTATTGAAACAAATTCTGATGATCAAAGACAATGTTCAATACTGGGAGTTCACTCACAATGTGTATAAGAGTTAAATATCCAAAAAATCACCAAAATGATGGTAGAAACGTGCAGCATAAAGAGTGAAGAAAAAAAAAACAAAGTGACCATTTAGCCCAATAGATCCAATAAATGGTACCAAGGAAGAAAAAATAAAACGATAGGCGACATCTCCAAATGAGACTAAAGTTTCTGCATTCCAACCCAAGAAATCAGCAGAGAAACATGGTGAGGGCGCAATAATATCCTATCCAAAAAAATGTTAACCCTTCGGCCCATAATGTAATAAAATATTCAAATGTGCACAAAAAGAAAGTGTTTTCACTGGATTTGTCTATAATGCAGAAAGCTTATCAGCAAGGAAAGATGAAATGCTTTGTGCTAAAATAAGGAGTCGAAAACATTGACATAAAAACATTTTTTCCTTATCCCTCTCTTTTCAGAAAAGAACATCCTGACCAAAATAATGTAAATGAATTTGTATTTCCTCTCGGAAAACTTCTAAATAAATTTTCTCCTTTGCAGGTTTTCTACTTTAGATTCTTGACCATTTCAACCTCTCAGTCAATGGAAGGAATAAATGGAGTAGTCAGACTGAGGGTCAAAAACTGTCCAGCCATTTCTCTACGACAACACCCTCTCCGGCCTCCCCCCCTACCTGGTGAGTGTTGTCCGAATGACAACAAGACCCTTGTCCTCAAACTTTTTTAAAACTCATGTCCCAATCTGAGATGTCGCAAGACAAACCATTCACTAAGGAACAAAAACTTTTCTTAAAAAGATGGCATCATCATATGCAACAAGACTCTTGCATCAAAATACAAGTCATTTTACTTACTGTTCATGCGCATCAATATGAAGGGCACAATGACAAAATGGTGGCAATGACGATGAAGATAAATGATGATAATAGAAATACAAGACTTTACTAGCTCTGTACAAAAAAAAAACCCAGCCTTGCACTACATTCAAACCACCATGTGTGTGTGTGTGTGTGCGTGTGAAGATGAATGACGGATGGAGATGAATGAATTCCTCAACACTGTCTAACAGAAATGCATCCAGTGACGAGAGCACAGGCATATTTATATGATACAGGGCCCCTGTCACACTATGATCACAATGGAGAAATGACAAGGAAAAGAGGCAGGTCGTAGAAGTGTGAAGGGGGAGGGGATGGAAACGGAGAGGGGGAAGGGGGAGGGAAGAAGACCAACAGTCTTCAAAACACAAGTCAGCCATCTGCTTTTGGAGGCGTGAACCATCCTGAAATGAAAAAGAGAGGGGGGGGGGGGGGGGGGTTAGAAATTTGGACCCTCATAATTCATTCTTGAGGAGCTAAACAACTGAACAGCACCCAGCACAACCTTTGTAAAAATTTAAAGAGCCTTCAACTCTGCTTGTCTTAAATTTCAGCACAAATATGAAAACTAACACAATAATCATCATCCATATGTCCTTTAAAAAAAATTGAACAGCTAAAAAAAAAACACATAAAAACTACAGGCAACCCTTTTATCAACAAAGTTACATGTACAGGCAACAGAAGAAAATTATGAATGAACACAAGGAGTAGAAGTAAAGACAAAGAAACGTAAGATAATTGTACATTAATCCTCTTTTTCTCTTTTTACCTGCACAAACTGAACAGGCACCAACACTCACCATTCTTTTCGTGAATCTGTACAAGGGATTTGAAAGACTGTTGTGCTCTTGCTAACGAGTACTGATTCTGAAATAAGAACAAACAAACAAAAATTTAATTTGAGTCCACTCTTAACCCTATCCGTACATCCTGGGGTCATTTTGCACCCCCGGGGTTGTATTCTTCACATTTTGAAACTTTCAGTACTTCTCAAAAAATCATTTTGACAGACTGCTATGCAAAGCGTACGGATCCGATTAACGAAGAAATTTCCTTTGGAAAATGGTAACACAGACTTCCCTACGTCGTATGGATACCTTAGTAAAACATGACATACGGATAGTGTTAAACAGAAAGAAACAACAGCAATAAAAATAACAGCAACAACACAATATTGCTTTTTTTTAAGTGACATATAAAAGAAATTGTATGCAGACAACACAAGACAACTAGGCTACAAAGGCAAAGGTAGACCCAAAAAAACTTAGCTGGATGGTGTCACAAACGTCCTTCAACAGAATAAAATATGCCATCCACCGAGCCCTTGACCAAAACTTGCACTACCACTTCTATCTAACAATACAAGAGGAAGGAAAAAGTAAAAAGAAAGTAAGTATTTTAAAACTTTTGTAGAGGTGGAAACCCTCAACCCCAAGCCACAGTCAATTCCTTGTTCAACTAAGTTTGCCATTAGAGGGATTAGATCCCTCCCTCTGTACTTCAGGACTTTTTTTTTTCGGCAAGCAGCAAGTGTTTTACAGTGCTCACAACTGCATACGGTCATATTATGTACGCATGGAACAACTAAAACATTTTCAGTTGGTAGGAAATTCTGAATTTGCTCAGGTGGCGGCCGAAGCCTACTCTTATTGACTTTGGACCACCAAGGGATCTTCAACTTGCTCAATTTGCACTTCAGGACCGCCCAGTGTATACTTCCATATATTGTGCATTACAGGACAGTTCACTCCTCAATTCAACATGCTTTCAAAAATTCTTAAAAGATGCCAGTGACAACATCTACTGTCTAGCACAGCGAACAAATTTTCAGATCCAGAATTTTTTTTCATAAATATACGAGGCATCAATATAAAAATCAGGCTCTCATCAAATTAATGAAATCAATTAAATGTATTTTTCTGCCAGTTTGAAAATTTTTATCAAATTTTCGTTTTTTGGAGTAACGCCTCTAATGCCCACATAAAAATTGTTTATTTAACGCGCACAAAAAGATTAGTTTCACTTTCTAAATACACTCAAGCTATGGAAGTCACCTAACTTTGGCGGCCATTTTCTCGCTAATTAATTTTTCCTCTGAAACCAAGCAACCCCCACCTCCTTCAATCGCAAATATCTTGAGTTCTATTCAAGATAAAAGGGTATTTTTTCTTCGAAAGCAAGACAAATGAACAAGCTTTATGAAGATACCAACAAATCCACATCCCCAAAAACTGACAAGCCCGATTCCACCGCGTCTAGGCACATAAATATTCTTCATTAGAAAAACATGTACATATCAAAATTCATACAACGAAAAGATTTCCATGCCCTGTCATTTTTGCTCTGTACTAGATTGTATATACAGGCATTTCACACTATTTATAGGGAGTGATATATTGTACATAAAGAGTAAGAGTAAAGATGGTTTGTAAGAGAACTTCTATGAGACAGGGATCACAGTGAAATTTTTCGACAACCCCTGAACTTCGGTCTGAAGAAGAGGGAAAACGTCAGTTCCGGTTCACCCCCAATCAAAGGAGAGTGAATGTTTTCTTTACTGTTCGTGACTTTTTATTTCTCCGAGTCGTCTCACTCGCATCCGGTCTACGATAGGCCGAGGTCAGTCGAATCCGCAGATCGTGGGGCGCCTTAGGGCCAATCTCAGGCTACTCAAGGCCTATCGCAGCCCCACTTAAGGCCGGGGCGGAACGACCGCCAGCCCGGTTAAGACCACGGAGCAGATTTAGGGAAGTTCTCGCAACCGCGGATAATCACAGTTCCGCAGAAAACTGTGATCCCTGGCTTACCATTTTCTTCAGCAACATTACAAGCATTTGTAAAACTTCATGTGGACTTTCAAGGACAATTTTTGCAGAGTAAACCATTGTGCAATGCACTCAAAGATGGCCTGAGACCATAGGACTGACCAACAAACTGCGGAACATTACCACCAACCAAGAAAAGATTGCCCTCTACATCTGGCTAATAATGCATACAGGGATGCCAAATGATTTTTTTTTAAACAAAAACTGAAAATGAGCGGAGCATCACACCTCACCTAAAATGAACCTTGAAAAATCATTAAATGAGCAAACAAAAACATTTCTCTTAGCATTCCCCTTTCCTTTGCAAGTGTATGAAAAAAAAACGGAAAAAGCCGGAAAAACCAGAGATTTGGCATCCCTGTGCATACAACATATGGCATGTCAGCAGCAAAAGCAGGAACGCGGGTGGAGAATTTTTAAAAAGAAGATAGGAGGAGGAGGAGGAGGAGGAAGAGGAGAAAAAGGAGGAAACGTTCTCTGACAATCTCACTTTTGTCGCCCCAAACTGAATGCGAGCCTTCCCTTTGACGAGGGTGGCAGAGATCTGCAGGATGATGGACTCGATGCTGTAGGCGCTGCTCCAGCCCTGCTTCGTCAGCAGCTCCATGCAGATGGCCCCGCCTCCCAGGACATAGCCGCCCGAAACCACTGGGTTGATCACGCGGACAAACGGAGGGTCAAAGGGGAACGACTCCTAGAAAATGAAATCAAGTGCACGAGTGTATCACTATGGCAATAATGGAGGCAAATGCAGGAAAACTCACAGCAAAAGAGACAGTTCACTTTGGTTAGAGCAGAGAGGCACATCAACACAGTGAGGTACATTTAGGGCAAGGGAAAAGCAAGAGATGAATAGAAAATCGACAGGGGGGAAAAGCAAGATATACAGACAGAAACAGTTAGTTTTAGCAAGTGTTTTACGGCACTTGCAACACAAAAAGGTCATATAAATGCCAATGATTAGAGGTGTTACAAGTGAGTAACAAACACAAAAAAGGAGGGAAGATAAAGACGTTAGATGGGAAAGAAAAGCAAACCACACCAGAGCACCCACCAACCACCCACAGACAGAATCAACAGGGGGAAAAGCAAGATATGCAGATAGAATCAACAGGTGGGAAAACAGCAAGATATGCAGATAGAATCAAAACGGTGAGATAGGAGGGGTGTGAGCTGGTAGGTGACAGCGTTGGCTTTGTGGGTTCGCACTCAGGCTATAAAGGAAGAGGAAGGCCACACAAAAGGTAAATCGAGGGTGTCAAGAAAACCCTTAGAAAACATAATTTCACAACTGAAAGAGCTGCGGAGCTGGCCTACCATAGAAAACTGCATCTCCCTCGATGCTTTACGGAAACAGAGGATGAAAAAGTAAAAGCAAATAATCAAAAGGGGGAAAAGCAAGATATGCAGATAGAACCAACAGGAGGAAAAAGCAAGAAAGGCAGACAGAATCAACCCAGGGAACGAAAATAGGTACGAAACAATTCCAGAAAAAGGAACTTCAGAACACAGAATGTTCAGACAAGGGGAAACAAAGAGTAAGATTTTCAATAACATCAGTGAAAACCGGATAAAGTAAAACTACATATGACCAAAGACGGATGACTCCAATAAATGAAATCCTTTACGCAGAATAAGAGACAACATTTAAAAAAAGGAAAATACAAACATAGCAGATTTTTCTTTAATTACCAGTTACTACATGCATAAATCGTATAGCATTGCATAGTTTTTGTTCATTACAGAAGGACCAAAAGCAGACGGCATTGGGGGGGGGGGGGGGGGCTAGTGGTTTTATATCACAAAATAAAGATTCCAAAATCTATATGTAAGCAATAGCAGCACTACCTGACATGAAACAAAAGTTGACATGAAGTAGAAGCAATATTCTCTGCTAGGACTAAACAGGAAAATTGCAACAGTATGTGACAGTAAGGAAAACAGCTAACAACATATACCAGTTTTCAAATTGTTACTAACATCTTTATGCTTCTGTTCTATCACAGTTTTACACAACCCTATCATTAACTGAACATAAATGAAGACCTTGCATTTAAAACAAAAACATATTTCTAACATTTTTCAAATTTTGTTGATAACCACTGTGGAAAGTTTCATTAAGATTTAAATGTAACACGCAAACAATATGGGAAATAACATTGAATATGGCATGTTAATCTTAGGTTTACAGGTAAAATCCTTCACATACCATTGATAACAAAAGCCAGCACTGTGTACACTTTAACTTACTTTGAAAGTGAAGTTGAGGAGAATGTGGTCTTTGCCCTCTTTCTCTTTAAACACTTGCATGTCTGTGTAGAGGGCACTGTCTTTGTCAACTCTGTAGACGCATGGTACAGAACGTAACATTTCATCATTCATTAACAAGCACCAAAAAAAAAATTTTTTTTTTAACCAAAAAACAATTTCTTTCCATCACTTAAATTTAGCTCAAACCTTCTATGACAATGCCATTTATCAGTAAAAGAAAAAAAATATCAGTCTCGTGGATCAACCATAAAACAAAAACAGAATACTGCCATAATTTCGAACAGAATAAATGAAACTACATTACCTTCCTCAACAATACTTTTCCCACTGACTTATATAAAAAAAACTTTCACCTTACAGAATTAAGTTATGAACATTCACGTGTTGCCCTGAGCACACGATGAGAATGCCCTTTAAAAAATAAATGACACAGGCGGTACAAAAAATGCTTAACGTACATCTCCCAATCAGCAGCAAACCAACACAAAGAAGCCCCCTAAAATCCCTCTTAAGTCAAGACTTTTACATTTGTAAGCACAGAATTAACAGTCACTGACTCATGGAAATATTTTAAACCATTCTCAAAAATTATTACTGATAACTTACCCTAAAAGCATCTTTTGTGCTCATTACTAAACAAGAAAGCACATTCGAAGCTGATGTGTTTGAGAAAACGACAAGGGTCACAAATTAAATATGTCAGATGTGAATCTAAATAATTTAGCCAGCACAAGTCTTATTTCATAGCTAAACAAATAAAAAGGCAAATAGCTCGCCATTTCATGAAGAATAAAAAGCTGCAAGATGATAAGGAACTTACTTTTTTAATCTGACATTCCACTCATAGAGGCAGTCATTGACTAGTTCTATTGTGTAGATCTCTGTGGAGATGAATATAGACAGAATGAAGACACATACAATACTGTTATAATCATAACAGAACACCCTCAAAATCATATTCAGATAAAAAGAAAAAAGGTGTTCGAAATAAAGAAAAGGGAACTGTCAAAAAAAAAAAAGAAAGAAAAGACGGGAAATACTGTGGGATCCAATTCACTGTATATATAGTTTCAAAACAATATGCAGTCTGAAGCTTTCTATTTTCACTCGAAGAAAATCATAAGGGACTCAACTGACTGACCAAGCACATCCATATGGAAAACATCTTTCTGGGTATTCTTTGTCTTTCAGGGTGTTCCCCCCCCCCTCCCAAATCTCAGTCGCTTTATGACAATTACTCATGCTTTTCCTGAAAACTCGAGCAGGTACCAAGTTCAAGCACCATTGGTTCTAGCACAATAATTCCAAGAGTATTAAAATGAAATAAGACAAAATTTTTCGGGTACAGAAAGATTGTTGTTAATATTGACAACTCTCAAATTTGTTTTGATCTTGGTGCTTATTTTCCCCTTTTGTTTCCATCTTCTTTTTTTCCCCCTACATTATGTGAAATAAATATTCTCTACGCTCTTGCATACGCACCATCTCCAGCTGGTTTAAAGAAACAGAAAAAAAGGAAAGATAATAAGGTGATTCAGTTTCCAATGACTTGTGGGATGATATAAGAGCTTCAAACAATATCGTTAACGACAAAACAGCTAGTCGCTGCTCCGAAAAGATTTTTCTTTAAATTTCTACTCAGGAGTCTTCGTCCTAAAACACACTGAGACAACTCATCTTAAAGTGTATCTGCCATATTGCTCAACTTTCTTTGTGAACATATATGTCCACTGACCACTCCACCAGATCAACAAACCTTTCTTGAAGCTGTCAGATTTGTAGATGTCACGCAGCTCTTTCATCAGTCTGTCTGTAGCTTGGACAGAACCCACCACTGATCCCTAAAACAGAGACCAAAATGGAAAAATCAGAATGATTACTTTTACACTATGTGCAACAAGTCAAATGAGGTAAAGTTGCTGAAAATGTAACCATACAAATCTTCAAAAATGTAAGTTCTGGAGGTGTTATTCGATTAACACGTTATGAAAAAAATGCATGGTTTGAAAAGTAAAATACTAATGTATGTGAAAACGGGGACATCAGCAGTTGAAAAACAATTTAACAGGGGAGGTTTCATCACATAGTGTTTTCCAAGACAACACTCGAAAAGATTTTTTTTTTAAACCAACATGGGGGGGGGGGGGATAAAATGAGAGCTGCGACAGGAACAAGACATTCATTCTTTTACGAAAAAACATAAAACATGTGAAATATCAGAACTTAAATGTTCCATTGCGACAATAAATTCAAACATCTAATAAAACATTCTGAACATTTTTATGAAAGGGGGGGGGGGGGGAGGGGAGGTGATACTTCACCAAATTTTTTTGTCACTTACATAGCAATGACATAAGTTCATATTTTACAGGCATTATAAGCATGGAAGAATCTCAGTGTCACAAGTCATCTTGTTCGATTTTCTCTGCCTCTGTGTTCCCTTGTAAGAGGAAAGGGGCAGCACTTTATACTATTTGATCCACACAGCAACGACAGCTTTTTTGTCGAAATGACAGTTCATCAAGCTGATTTGAAATGATTTCAACATATTGAAAGAAATGACGCTCCATATCTGTGTTATAGCACTCTGTTAATGTGTTGATGTTTGGTGCACTTGGTACATGAATCTGCCAAACATGGGATTGCAACCAGTCGGTGAACTTCACTATATCTAATTATGTATTAAAACGGCTGCCATTTTCTTAAAAATTGACTGAGATGTAAAAGAACAGCACCAAAAGTCTCAGGAAACATAGACCTTTCATCTGAAACAGATAAATTTGGCTTCTTTGAAAATTTAGTTTCTGGTACTTACTTTACGACAGACAAACCAGGGGCTTATTTGGGAAAAGCTTCAGTATTTAACTGTCACGGAAAAAGTGACTTACCTTGAGGTAAGACTGGCGCTGATTCTGTTTTAACCTCTCCAACACAGCAAGATTTTCCACATCAATTCCATCTATTTCTTCTTTGGCTTTTTGTTCATTACTGGGAAAGCATAAAATGGTTAAAAGTGTCTGTCACAAACAACATTTCAACAGAACGAAGACAACAGCAGTCAAAAAAAGAAACAAGAAAAAACTCCTTGGAAAGGTAGAAACAATAGACTATGTACAAGGGCAATCAAGTACTCAAACATTTCCTGCTCATCAGACTACAGCTGCCAGATTACAGTAGTGGGGGAAAAAAAGGACTTTCTTTGTTATATTTTCAGAAGCAAAATAATCTTCATCAAGACTATTCCGAGCTCTTTTCTCAGATCACCAGCACAGCTTAGAAGAACAGTGATCCTTTCTTTGAGTAACAATTTGACCAGACCATCAAAGTATCCATCAGACCTGCTCAATTTGGACAAACAAAATTCGCAGTGAATTTTTAAAGTGTGGCACAAATATCACCAAAAAATGTGACAATATCTGAGCTATCGGCTACACCCACCCTCTAATCCCTTTAAGATTTTTAGACTACTGAACTTGAGAACATAGTCTAAATCAGCCCACTGACTTGCAAACAGCTCTCCAGTATGCCATTGTGTACAATAACAAAAAGACAGTGAAGCCAACTAAACAAGCAACTAATCATTTACTCACAACCTGATGTCGAACTTCTGATCCTTTCTTTAAATACAGCACTTTTCAGCTACTTGTATGACTTCAGGATCACTATCTAATGATACAAAACGAATTTTATGGTCTTCCATCCAGTATCTCTCAGATAAAGAACAGCTTGTATCAAGACACTATTCTTTGCTCTCTAAAACACAATACACCTCGAAGCATTGCTAGAAAAAGTCTTGCTGTGGACAAATATATGTGCCATCCACCAGTACAAAAAGCTATGGGCACCAGCTTCTCCTGGTTACATGTTCGTACAAAACCACAATGCGCACCAACAAAGGTGGAACTAAACTCTTGTGGTGCCTCATATAAGACAATAAAGAATGCCAACGCTAGACCAAGGACAAAAGTTAAACTTACCTGTGCCCATCTTCCTCCATGTCATAATGAAATTCATCTTCTTCATCTTCCTCATCAGAAACTGTTTCAGCAGGATCCACATTCATTTTCACAGAAATTCCCTGGAAAAAAAAGACAAAATGCAGGTCTAAGCTGATATCACTACTTCAAGATGAAAACCCGGATTCAGAAAAATATATAATTGCAGCACAAGAAATGCAAAATCTACTGAAAAATGAATATGTGAAATTTAAAAGTAATGAGCAAAAACCTGCTTGAGTATCAGGAGTGAAAATGTACTTCAAAATGCTGTAAAGAGACTGACTTTAAGGGGGGGGGGAGCTACAACAGAAGGCTATCTCGCTTATTACTGGACCAAATTTTACCAAATTTCACACATATAACAAGCATAGTCAGGAGTCCTAAAATCCGCAATCAAATTTGAAAAAAAAGTTTTGTTTCCATGTATACGCCGCCCATATGGATTTTGTTGACATGTCTTACGTAATGAATACCTCACTTATCGCTCATGGAAATTGATTGGGTTTTTTGCCTGCGTGTTAACAAACATTAGATCTAAAGATTTGTCTGTTGTTTTTTTCCTAAACAAGTTAGAAAATTTTTAATGAATTTTTTTCCTGAGGTGGCATTCAAGTTTGCAAAAAATCCGTGAAAATCCACACTCCAGACACCACCAACTCTTCCATATATCAAAAATTCAACAGACAAAGTTTTAGTATTACATCTTCTCTTCAATCTGAGAAAATTTCATGAAGATTGGAAGAAAAATGGAGGAGTTATTCAAAAAAGTACGGAGAAAAGTCGCGTTTTTAAAAAACGGCCGATAAAGAAAAATAAAATATTGACTTTATGAGGAAATGGTAGAGACAAACATGCCCGGAATGGGAAAAAATACGGTTTTTCAGGGGTTCTTATGCAATGAAATAGTTCTAGGAGAGACTGAGGAAGCTAAAAATGCCTACATCTCAAATTCCATAATTTTGAGCCGAATCGGGACTTTGGGGGTGTAGCCCCTCCCCCCCCCCCCTTAAAAGAAAGTTCAAACTTCATTCTCTACACGACACGGCTAAATAGCAAAACAGATCCCTCTGTCTGTGTTCTGTACATCAATCTTCAGTCAAAACGACTTACCTTGAGATCGAAAATAACATTAAAAAAAAAAAAAGAGGCAATGATTAATGATCTTCTACACTATTATGCCAGACATCTAACTGACAGTTTTCATTCTAGAGAAAAATAGAGTCAATGTGTAAGACTTTTCTAGTATATTAACAAAGAACCAAGCAACAGGCTAATAGCATAAATATATTTACTCCATGTAAGATCTATCCAAACTATCTCCACACACTTTATACAGAGACAAAAACCAAGTCAAGGACATGACTACATAAGATCAAGTATAGAAAGTAAACAACAGGACCATAGGACTATGGCAAAATTACACACCTTTTCTGATAATGCATCATCAAGAGAACAGATTTCAGCAGGCACTTCCAAGTTGTGTGATCTACATAAACCCTCCACTAAAAGCTTAGTCTGGTACAAAATCTGCAAGATAATTTGGGAAATAAGACATTTTCAAATCAAAAGCAACATGACTAGATCTCTATGAATTTTATCTACAATATTTCCATTTAAGGTAACACAACTCTATATTTTACCAAAAAGTGCTCAACTTTTCCTTCGTGAAAAGCAACTGCAAATTTGTTGAAATGTATTCAACAATCTGCAAAACTTGTCTATCCAAACACGAAGTTGTACAACATGAAACATGGGAAAATAATCTCCAAAATACAGTCCATTCTACATAAGCAATGGAAGCAATCCAAATCACGTGAATTGACCAACGGACTTGATCTCACTTCAAAGAGAAAGCCCGAATCCCCAATATTATTTCATGTCTTTCACTACCCATAAACAATGGACCAGTTGTCAGGCACGTCCGGAGCGCCACCCACCAACTACTTGTGCATTTTGCAAAGTTGTAAGACACTTATGAATTGTGCTATTGATCTAGCATGCACTATAAAATCTTTTTTTCCTTTTCTTATCATTTGTATCACATGGGTTTTTCTTTGCTTGGTGGAAATTTTTCCAGAAACCGGTTACATATTGAGATCTTAACACCACCAAATGACAATACAGATGTCCAACATTTTAAAATTAAACATTGCAGTGTAAAAACAATACATTTAATAAAACATGACTACGTCGTCAATACAATTAAAGAGTTGTTATGACTCACATTGAACTGTTCTTGCTTTGTGTTGGCCAGCTCTCCCACAACATCAACAACACTGGAATCTTCACTATCACTGAACCATATGGGTGCTGACTGAGGATATGTTTCCTACAAATAGAAATATCACCAATAGCAAATGATTATTACAGTAAATCAAAAGGCTACAAAACAATTTATATGTAAACATGGTAGTGGTAGAGTATATGTAAGCATGACTGCAAAGTTCATCACTCACTAAAAAAAAAAACTGCTATTCAAAAGTTATGCACTCCTGGCTTCTCTTATTATCTACAGCATTACTGAGGCAACAAAATTTTTAAAAAGAATTCAATAACAAGACAAGTTCATAAAACTTTAAAAGGGAAAAAACGTTCTTTTTCCATTTCTTGCACACAAAACAGTGAACTTTTGATAAAAGTTCTTGGCAACCAAAATTCTGTCAACCCCCTACCTAAGCTACAACCCAAATTACAGTATAAACAAAACAGAGCGTCTTTCCTACCATGGTCTCCCAGCGAGAAAGGGCGGTGACGTAATTATGACAGTTGTCTATGATTGCCTCATTCAAGACAAGGAACAAAGGGATTGATTTGAATACCGTTCATTATTCAGTGTTATGCACCCACAAATAATACAAAGAGAGCTAGTAAAGATGAATTCTACAACCACGCTTCAAAGTATTCTTGTTCAACATCCTGCAAAAGATATTAACATCCTGATAGGAGATATGAACACCAAAGTTGGCACAGACGGTACTAGATCTGATGAAGAGATGGGAAAACATGGACTTGGAGAGGCAAATGACAAAGATGAAAGATTCAAGAACTTGTGTGCAGTAAACAGTATGGTAATTAAAGAACCTGTTTACCCCTCTCTCTCTCTCTCTCTCTCTCTCTCTCTCCCCATAAACTCCTTTACCCCCCCCCCCCCCCAAGAGGATACGCAAAGCGACCTGGGTGTCACCCGACCATGCCACAGAAAATCAAATGATCACGTCTATGTCTCACAAAAATATTGGAGAACAATGGAAGACGCCAGAATGTACAAAGGGGCTGACTCTGAGTCAGAATATCAACCCCTCATTGGGAAATTTAGACTTAGTAAAACTTAAGAAAAAAGCTCTGAGCAGCCCAAAAGAACAGACCAACATTCAAAAATAACCTGCAGAAAGGCAAGACCATCCATAATTTGAGTCACGACGCAGTGGAATCAGGCGCACGTCAATTTTTGGGCATATAGAGTTATAGTTATCATCTTAAAAATCGTTCATTTGCCTTGCTTTAAGAGCAAAATATATCCATTTATCTTGAATAGAAGTCGAGATATTTGCGATTGAAGGAGGTGGGGTCTCCTGGTTTTAGATGTAAAATTTGCGAGAAAATGGACGCCAAAGTTTGGTAAATTCAATAGTTTGAGTCCTTGAAAACTGAAAATTACACATTTTGTGTCTTTAAACAAGGTTCTTTTTAATAAAATTTATATATGGAAATGTGTTTTCATACGAACATAAAAGGTGTTTAGCCAAAAAACAAGATTTCCATAAAAATTGCCAAACTGGTGGAAAAATGACTTTTTCTTTTTCTTCGATTTCCGTATTTTGACGAGCGCCTGACTGCACCACGATGCCTCATATTTGATTTGGCTTCGAAAAATAGATTTCATGTGTCGTCACAATTATGAGAATTGCTGTAAAAAGGGGAAGTAGACCAGGAAGACCCCTTTGGACAACCATCAGGGACATGTATAATGCCACATGCACAGAACTAGGACAAAAGGAATGCCAGCACAAAGAATGGATCAGCTCTTAAAGTCACATGACAAAATACCAGTGAGGAGGGAAAAAAATAGAAAGGCTGAATGCATGTAAGAGAAGATTCACCAAGGCAAACGCTCAGGAACAATATGAGCAACCAAGAGGTGAAATTAAGATAAAATTGAGAAAGGACAAACACAAGTTTACAGATGTTAACAGCTTGAACAGCAGAGTAATCAGTGTTACAATGACTCTCCAAGAAAGATGAATCGGCAACGGTAAAAACTACAGAATAACACCGGTCAATTGCAGGTACAACATTCAACAGAATTGTCGTCCACAGCTATAAAATTAAGGAGTTCGCCTCTCTTTCAATTGGTCCCGGATTCAAATCTGAATAGCAACGGAAAATTTACTTCTTTAAAATGTTCTCCTTTCACACCCTTTCTTACTCTCTAACAATGTTCTGTTGTCTGCTTTCGTCACTTTCTGCCTCTACCCCTCACCTCCTTTGCCCCCTCTTCTGGACTCCTGACTCTTTCTGTAGCCTTTCTACTGCTACTCCTTCGCTCCTTACAGCTGTCTTTCAGCCACACCCTTGATCTTATGGTAGGTAAGATCTACTCCTTGCCTTCTCGGACAAGGGTGAAAAATCTCGGAGGTCTCGTGTAGAAGTTGCACACATTAAAGAACGCTTGGTGGTCCAAAATCGATAAGAGTAGGCTTCGGCCCCACTCGCGCAAAATTCTAAATTTCCTTCCGACTGAAAACGTTTACTGTGTCCCGCGGGCTCATATGACCTTATATGCAGTTACTTTGCGAGTGCCGCAAAACACTTGTGCATGAAAAAGACCATGGACCTACACCTAAGAGACATCAAAGCAGGATTCAGAAAGAAAAGATGATGCCGGTCTAGTTGAAGTTCCACTGCGATGTCTTTAATCTATAAAGGCTTAGGACTGTCACTGGCCATTTAAAAAATGCTCTGGTGATTCTTGGTTGTCGGGGG